GTGTTTTGTTCTGTCAGTTCGTGTATTTGTTGTTTTAGCGTCTCGTTTTCATGTTTTTGTGTTTGTAACTGTTCGTATAAATTCGTTTTAGTTGTCTTGTTTTTTGGTGAAGCGGAGACCCTTGAAGAGGGTCTTTCGCTGTCTGTATCATCCATGTATATATATATGTTCTCCTCGTTTTCGGAGTCCGACATTGTGCGCGCGCGGGTGTGTGTGTGTGTGTTTGTGTGTGTGTGTGTGTGTGTACGGGTCTTTTGGTGTATTAGTCTGTCTGGTATATTGTTTGTCGGGGGGTCGCAATTTTAAAGAAACGTATTCTAAAGTAATGCAAATAACTGATAAATAAGTAAAAGTGGGACTTACCTGGGCATAACGCCGGCACAAGTACCTGTAACAAAGATGCTGACGGCCTCTATGCTTAAGCCGGGGATTAGGTCGGTGATTAAGAGGAAAGAAAGGGATTCTTTCCAGGTAGCCTTAATAAAGGCAGGTAGAATTTGCTCCTTGCACTACACTTTCACAAAACACGTGTGCTCTGCTCGGCTGCCCGCTCGGAACTGAACTACTCGTCGTTTTTCAATTTTGCCTATAAGTTTCCCCGGGCTGCTGGGCTGCTGCCTCACCTCCAGTATATGCTGCATGCTCTAAGGTCGCGACGATGACTATCCCTCGGGAGGTAAGCTTCTACAAAATATTTGAGGAAGTCCCACAAATCCTCTATACCGGCCACGCTTGTGGTCGGGGTTGACGACGAATGGGGCCCACATTCACGAGCCTCTTCAGGCCTACAGCGATTATACAGGAGAAAGAGGAATAGTCCCCCTCGGTCCCAAGTCATTTAGACCCCCAACATCGTCAAAAATAACGGCGCGGCGCGCCTTCGGTGACCTACGTATGTATAAAGCGCGCGCCATATGTTTGTTCTACTTATTTCTGAATAGTTTGAAAGAGCATCTTTTAGTCCTTTCTGAACAGGACGGATTAACGTAAACGCGCCCTTTTTAGTTGGAGTAATATTCCTGAACGCAGACTGCGGACTTAGGTAATAGTACGATCATATCGTAAAGCAAAAGAAAACGGCTATCGGCTAATCGTGTGTTTGTCTTTTGTGTTTTACTTTCTGAAAAACGTCAGATTAAAGACTGAAATTTTGGCTGAGTAATCGGTTTATCATTTTATAATTTTGTAAGAAAATGTCTGAACAGGAAGAAAAGTTAACACAGTTTATTGCGATAACAGGTGCAAATGAAGATCGAGCTAAATTTTATTTGGAGTCATCTGCTTGGCAAGTTGAGGTTAGTTTTATAAACAAACATTGCCTTCATACTTAAAAGCAAAATCATTATAGTAATTCTTTTTAATTGTTATTTACTTTTAGGTCGCCATAGCTAGATACTATGAAAATGATGGTAATGATGTAGAATTAATTGATAGTTCTCCACAGGAAGTACCTACAGAGACAAAAGAATCTGCTGCAACAAATAAGGCTAAATCAAAATCCAAACCTTCAAATTTTGCTACTATGAATACTCTTACTACTTCTAGTGATGAAGAAGAAGAAGGACAAGCATATTATGCAGGAGGATCAGAACATAGTGGCCAACAAATTTTGGGGCCTCCAAAGAAACAAGATATTGTTGCCGATATGTTTAAATCTGTTCACGAGTAAGTAATTTACAGATAGATATTTGTATAATCTTCTCTGTAGTTTTAAAATTAAGACGATTTATAAATTTTTTCCATTACCATTTAATTCCTGTTACCTGGAGAAAATATACCTATATTTCTCTATTATCAATATTTCCTTTAGTAGTTGATGGATGGGAACTGTAAATAAATTACTGTAAACTGATGGCAATGACTGATTTCAAATAAATACAGAGCCATAATTTCCTTCTTAAGAGAGAGAGGGAAAAAAATGACTATTACATATTTAACGTTTGTCTTTGTCTCCTAGTTGGTGTTATACATTATAGTCTCGATCAAACCAAGACGTTACCAGAATAAAAAAACAAAGCGGTCCATAAGAATAAAGTAATGTTAGCGAAGGCCATGCATTAATAAAATTATATTGATAACTCTTTACAAGATATGTAATATCACAATAGTAAACTTATTTGTAAAATGGAGAAGTATTTTTATGAAATATAGGAATAAAGTACATGAAATATTAAAATTATGAAAACATTTTTTATATAAAATGTATTTTAAATCAAAAGTTACTTTAATATTAAACATTTTCACAATTTTCATTGCTTAGAAAATTGCATATTTAATTCTCATTATTGTATTTAAAAGACCTATTTTAAGAACCACTACCTGTAGGCGGAAAGGGTTTAATTCGGCATAAAATGTTTCCTTTATATTCATATCTGTGCAAATAAATTTCTCGATCAATAAAAAAATATAAATTGAATTCATCGCAGACAATCAAGTTTTGAACAATATTTTCCCTATTCACTTACTTATAACCGTATAACTAACTATTTGCCAGATATTTGCAGTCCAGTTTATGGTTTCATAACAAGATTAAAGATCTATAATTTTTTAAATAAAAGTTTTTCATAGATTTTTATTTGAAACATTTTGCAAGCTACATAAATATTATTAAAGGGCGTTAACCAAATTTAATGCTGTTTTTAACTAAATTCTACAATTTTAAGTAATTTTAATGATGGCATAAAAAATATCATTCAAACAATTTGCTGACTCGGATTATAAAAATTTTGTTAAAAATAGGTAATTAGGTAATCATTCAGAGCATCATTTACAGTGAACAGTTTGATTTTCAATGTCACGTTAAAAAAAATGCCCTACTACTTTAGCTTTTATATTAATTTTATGTTGTAATGAACAAAAACAATTTAAAAATAAATAAACAACTCTTTGCTAATAAAAAAAAGGAAAAAATAAAACTTGGTGCACCCCACGATATAAACATTTTATACTTTTATAGTACAATTTGGTTGCTGTCTTGCATCTTATTTAAAATCACAGGAGTTATAGGGCATTATTCTTGTCAATAAATAATTAACAAAATTGCAAACATATGCAATAAGAAAAAATTGCTCAATGTTTAATTCCGAGTTTAATTCTCTATACCACGTACCTCTAGGGGTTCTTGAAGACGTCTTAAGGGGTATGTGACCCGATCTCTTAGGATAGGTTCTAATAACTCGAATTGTTGATCTGTGTCTAAATTCCAAAGTTAATATTTTACTGATAATAATCGAATAGTAAGTCGATTTCGCATAAGTCGGGGTACAATTTTGGATATAATAATAATAATAATAATGTTTAGAGTCCGTACGATATTTGTTGAGATCGAATTCCAAGAAAGTGACGCATGGCTCCTCTTGGAATTCTGTCTCAACAAATATACGGACTATAATTGAGACCGAAGACTAAAGAAAATGATAGATTTAAAAGAAAAATGAGTAATAAAATAAATTAATACAAAAAATTATATTATGAATTGCAAAAACGTAATCAAAGATTTTTTCTTCTCATGCAAAATTCTTCATAGAATAGTTTTATAGCAGAAATGCGCTCGTTGGAGTCTATGTTTTCCAAAATTTGTCACCATTTTTCAACTAAACTGAGGCCTTCTGTCATTTTTCCAACCGTTATTTGATCTTCTAATTGAACTGGGTCTAAATGTTCTTCAATGTCTGGCTCTTGCTCATGCATTTCTATGAGCTCAATAATTGTCAGCTCCCGATTGTGTGAATCCAGTAGTTTTTGAACGTCATCACTATCCACTTCTAAATTTATTTGTCTGCAAGATCGACAACTTCTTCAAACACATTACCAATTTCATCAGGCTCTGGAGCTTATTCCGCTTGAGTTTCAGTGGTGAAAAAAAATGGACACAGTTTTTTCCAGGCTTTACAATTTGACCAAATCACGGGCAAGCCAGCTTTAGACTTATTTTTTAATGCTCTTGGTTTTTCTGAGCGATAAATTAAGAGAGGTTTTAAGTTCGCCCCCACAGAAGAACCTAGCCCGAGAATAAATTACTGATTTTCTCATAACTTAGTAACATATTTTTTCTCTTAAACTGGAAATGGTATTTTCAACTTTTAAGATGAATATGAGTATGTTAAATTTTTGACTAGTAACAAAAATATTACACTAATAATTTGTGTATTATAGTTCATTCCCAATTTAATTATATGACTAGAAAACGTTATCAACTATAGATAAAATCTTTTTTTTTTAATTTATGAATTTATCCTAATTGCTGCTAGTGTTGCTTTTGTACAATCATTATATCAATAAGAAACCTATATGAGTACAAGATTAGTAACCACTTCCGCAGTTTTCTTTTCACATAGGAGGAAGCTAATGGAATGTAATTTTCTTGCAGACATGGAGTTGAAATTTTAGAACCTAGTGCAAGTAGTTCTAGCTCAAGAGCATTTAAAGGTACTGGCTATAAATTAGGTCAAGACAATAATGATACAGAGATTATTCCTGGTGCACCAGAACCATCTCCACCTGCAGAGGTAACATTGAGATTGTGGCAAAATGGGTTTAGTGTGAATGATGGTGATTTACGAGCATATACTGATCCACAAAATAAAGAATTTCTTGATAGTATACGTAGAGGGGAAATTCCTCAAGAACTACGTCAAGGAACTTCAGAGGTGAGGAATACATTTCAACAATAATTTTCAATACTTATTTGGTTAATATTTTACATGTGTTGTAGAATAAATATACCTTTCATAAAAATTAATACACCACAAAAAAAAGCCTCCATTCAAGGTTAATTTTCTCACAATCGTATAATCTGATTTTCATCGAAAAATTTTCTTTTTTCGTGTACACTATTGATGAATTTAAGAGTTTATTCATGTTAATTTGTGAATTCTTTTTTTGAATTTATTCTAATCTCCTGATCTTAATTGGCCAATAGTATTGCTTTAGTTTACCTGTGCAGGCTTAACAAAACGTATTAGAGATAGCTAGGGCGACTTTTTTTTATTTTTTATAGGATTTAACATTTTTTTATTTATCTAGAATGGGGATAGCCACTGGTGACCAACAATAAAATAAAAAATTTTCAGAAACAAAAATTAATTATGTAACATCCGTACTTTGTTTTTTGAAATTGAAGTTGATTTTGCTGCATTATGCACCTTATCTGCATGTTTTGTTAAGAAAACTGATTATATACTTTGTTTTTAAAAACAAAAGTTTAATTTTGCAAAAATTAAAACATTGTGTTCTTATATAATTTTACAAGTTCTTTTATACAGGGTGTCCCAGGTTTAAATAGCAGGACTTCAAGAGGCTTTAGAAGACCTCATTTTAAGACTAAAAGTTCCTATATATATGGGTCTTAAAACGCTTCGTTTCTGAGATACAGGGCATTAAATTTTATTTTTGTTTTATTTATTTATTTTTTAACTAAATAACCGCTGACAAAAAAATCATCATGTTGCGGCGAAAGACTATCGCATATTAATTCCAGTGGTGGAGATAGAGGGGTACCTATTAATATTTTTATAAAAAAAGTATAGCCGAACTGAAATTTTGCAAATGTTTTCGAAAAATATGAAAGAGCATGTAATTTTTCCCAGAAAAGGCCCTGTCCGAAGTCGGTAGGACGTAGCGTTTTCAAGAAAAACCGAAAATACTGTTTAGAAGTCAAATCATAATTTTTAAACATTGTGTTACAACTAAATTAAATAGTTAAAAAATTTGGTTAAAACTGTTTGTAATTAATAAAATGGGAATAAATAAAAAAAATAAATAACGAAAATCATATTAAATCAAAGTAAATGTTCGAAATTTTAACCATTTTCTTCGATACATAACTGACACTGACGCTGGATAGAACGTCTCATTTGAATTCTGTTATTGTCTGTGATTTTTTTTTAAGAGGCTACACACACAATTAGAAACTGTAATAAGCGCAAATGTCAATATTAGAATGGCATTTCAAGTGTGATTTGACTTTTAAACAGTATTTTCGGTTTTTCTTGAAAACGCCACATCCTATCGACTTCGGACAAGAGGGCCTTTTGTGGGTAAAATTGCATGCTCTTTCATATTTTTTGAAAACATTTGCAAAATTTCAATTTGGCTATATATTTTTTTATAAAAATATTAATAGATACCCCTGTATCTCCACCACTAGAATTAAGATGTGATTATTTTCTGTGTCAAATTATTTGCACTCCAATACTAAGTCATTCGCCGCAACATGACGATTTTTTTTTGTCAGCAGTGATTTAGTTAAAAAATAGATAAATAAAACAAAAATAAAATTCAACGCCCTGTATCTCAGAAACGAAATATTTTAAGACCCATATATATATATATATAGGAACTTTTAGTCTTAAAATGAGGTCTTCTAAAGCCTCCTGAAGTCCTGCTATTTAAACCTGAGACACCCTGTATAGTATATGCAAGGTTTTCTTGTATTATCTAAAATACCTATGGTTACAGTTCAAGGATAAGCAACCCTTAATGGAACCTGAGTCAGTTAACCAAAGTAAATATGAACATGTTCACATAGACTATTTCAGGATGCTATAGTATTGAAACTAAATAGTAACTAAATAAAAAGTTTTTGAAAATACGTAAAAGTGAAAATATTTACTTATTAAGTTAGAGCTTCTAAGTTTTGTGCAGTAAAATTGCGATGTCTATAATTTAATGGTAACTTGTGACCGCTCAACTCAAACACTTGCTTTTACTGTCACATGTTGCTCCTTCTATAGCGGAATGTCTTAGAAATGTCTGTGTGGCAATTGGAGCTTGTAAGGTTTTATGACATCACACTGCACTATAGTTGCTTGCTGTTAGAGCCATAATTCACTTGTTGAACTTAGTTTATATTTTCAGAATCAATGTAGTCTCAGTATTATTTTGTGTAGGTTAAAAAAATTTAAAAATTAGTGATATAAATTAGTTTTATCAGAATTTTTATAACTTATAGGTTATTCTACCCCTTTGAAATGGTCTGATGCATTTTTGTTCCATTCCATTCCTACCATTATTTTTATTTTTTCAATGTGGCTCTAAAATTTTATTTAGCTGAAAACTCATTGAAATTGCTTGCATTTGAATAAAAAAAGCGGTTCTGTCTTCATAAATTGACATTTGACTGAATATTTGAAATTTAAAAAATTAACCCTTGTCAAATACAAAAAATTAGTTATCCATATTGAAATAGTTATAATATGATATTAAAATGTATAACGATGCAACAATAGTTCGTTCAAAAAATGAACATGTTCGATATTTCATAATAATTAATTACAGAGACATTCACACTCGACTAAATAAGTCAAGGGCACACTATTGTCACGCTACTTTCTGTCAGTTAAGCTCATGTGACAAGACATGAACCAATGATTTTGCATTTATTAATAGTTAAATCTCTGGCAGGCACATTGCTGTTAAGTTACAGTTTTATGCTAGTCACGTGCAACACCACAACACTATTCAGTGTTTTACAGACTCACATAAGTTGATGCAAAACAAAATGGACAAATTGTAACCATATAGTGGTAGGTGTCTAGTGTTATTAAAATAAAATATATTTACCAAAAAATATACGCGAAGTCGTAGACTTTCATTTGTTGCTGTCATGTGAGCTTATATGATAATAATGTGTCTCGGCCTTAATTCATTTAAACTCATCTTCATTTGTTTTTGTCACTAATTTATTACAATGATGGGCTTCCTGCATTTTTTTTTGGAAGCAAATTTTTAGATCAATTTAGGAATTCTATTATTTACATTGTGAATATTTTTGTACACACTTTTCAAGTTTCAAATGCTGAATGAGTTTTTTTTAAAGTTTAAAGCATTTTGTTTTGGTTATTAATTGTCTTTTCGTTAGCGTCGTGTCCCTCAATTCATTATCCTTTTATTTTTTGCTCATTAATTTGCGAATAACTTGATAACAAAAAAAGATTTGAACCCTTTTTGGAGTCAAATGTAGTTATTTTTATGCTCTTCAAAGTAACGTACAAAAAGTTTTATTCTTTTTTCTCTTTTTTAAGAAAATGTGAATAGCGCCAATAAATAAACAACACTTTTGTTGGAAATTTGATACTTATACTATATTCATAAATTATTGGTGCTGAATTCTTTCATGTAAAGAAAACTATAGCATTCCATTTAAAATTTTTGAAAAAAATCTATAAAACGGCATTCTTTTGAAATAGATCACATCATCTATAGGTTTCCATATTGAGGTAAATGACATTACGCATTCACCACGAGATAAAGCATGAAAAGACCTTGCCAATGAGATAACGCTATGGGTTTTTGATGAGCAAATCCTCAAAAAAATGCATTTTTCTGATCAGACAAAATGTCAATAATAAAAGATATGCGCAATGAATCTGTCTAACCATACTTGTATTATTTAATATACCTGAATAGGAAACATTTCTGAGAAAAATTCAAGTATGTCTTTTGGTATGTAGATTACACCCTCTAGCGACTGAGCTATGAACTTGAAAACTATTTCCAGCGATTTCTCTTGGATGATTTATTGATCAAAATTTTTTTCCTGAAATTGTATTTCGCCGACCTTAGTAGGACATCCTGTATAATAAAAAAAAAGCAAAATCAACATAACTGTTCAGACATTTACAACAAAAATTATTTTTGAAATTGAGGCTCATTTTTAATTGCACATTAATTTTGAAACAAAGTATATAAAATATGAAATATGTATGAATACTTGAATACTGCTGTGCTATTTGCTTGAAATATAATTTTCATATACTTACATGAATGAGAGACACAAAAGTAAAAAAAATGAGTCTTACAATTTATTTAACATTATGGAATTATATGCATTTTTGTAATTTAATTGAATTTATTTTCAAGTAATTCTACCCTAATCATATTTGTCATAGACATTATTTATTCACAATTAATATCTCTGCTAATAAATTCAACAAAATTTTATTAAGGTTCACTTAGTTATGGAGGATCATCGTATGGAAGCTTTCAAATCTGCCCAAAAGAAAAAAATAGTTAAAGCTTTCCAGGGTCACGGTTATACTCTAGGTAGCCCTGCTCCTATTGTAATAGGAGCTCCATGTGAAGAAGATAAACCTGCTAATGAAGCAAAAGCTAAGGATTTAATAAAAGTTGATGATTCAAAGCCTACAACTAAGTAAGTATTAATTTTTATAGGCCATGCACATACAGGAAAGGAAATTGTTCCAGTTTTGATTTTTCCACAGACTTACGAATCGAAAAGTGGTACCCAATGTTATTAAATAAATAAAATTTATGGTAGTATTTTGTAATTTTTATATAGTGTTGTAAATTTATGGCAATGAAAAACATCACCAAGTGCAATAATATAAAAACTTATCATTTAGACCGTCATGTATATTTATTTACAGTTCCGACATTTTAAACAGCTTGTAAAATTTAAATGGTCATATTTTGATCATGAAACGTAGGGTCTATAGCACTTTTTAGATGATAGAACTTTCACAAAGAAAAATTTTGAATGAAATCTAAAATAAAAATTAAAACAGGTGTTGCCAACCTCAATGTTTGCCTCGAAGAGGATTGCATATAGATAAGCAAAATATAATATAACAACCCAGAACTTTTGCATAGATGACAATCACAATCTGCCTGTATCAAAAATAAGTTCCCTGAAGAATTTGTCAACTTTTATTAGTGAAAATTACATTAGCACACAGTAAGATCTTCTAGGCTCTTGTTTTCAAAATATGTAGGCTTCTAACATACTGCAATTGCATACTGCAATTAAAAATTAAAAACAAAAAAAATGTTAATTTTACCGAGTTTAACCAAGAGGGTAATATTGTTTTGATACAGGCAGATTGCAATCGTCATCTATGCAAAAATTCCGTGTTGTTAACCATTCGGCATAGTCCGTCCCTGGCATTCTGGGCAGAATGAAGTTTCACTTACTACATCAAAAGCAATCTGTATGCATGTGTTATGGATCACTAAATTTGCATCATTCTGAAGTTAATAGTTTAGAGAGTGTAAATAAAAATAAGATTTTAATTTTCAACTTTGAGGGTCTGTAACTTGTTAACGGGGCCCATACGGAAAAAATTTATATGAAGAACTGATATTATTTTGACCTCATCTATAATATGTACTCAAATTTTTTGTATCAAGTACCGGGACACCCTGTATTTTTTTATAGTCACTCAGATATAAAACAGGCTCTTTTGCTTTTTACAAAATTTTTGCAATTTTATTGAGGCATTTTTTATATAGCCTTGCCCACTTACCACCTGCAAATACAAAATACAACCGGAATATATTTGGAACAATTTTTTTTTTGTGTTTGTGACAATAAAAAAAATACAGCACTAATTTTCTTGCTCACATTTTCTGTAAAATTCAACCATTTCAATATTTCTATTGGGTAGCAGTAGTGGGTGAAGCAACGAGCGGAAGACTCTGGCTCAACCATACTTTCGATCGTTTCGGGCGACTTTCAAGGGCTTTTTTAGTATATTTCCCATCACCCAGTCGAAAATCTGAAATATACAAATTGGAAATTTTGTCGTCTACTTTCAGATGCCGCTTTCAGAATTTAAATCAGACCATTTTTGATAAATCGCCATGCTGTGCAAAAAAAACCCTAATTTGTTTATAATGCAATTGTGTAAACTATACATCATACAGAAACCATCTTGCGCACGATTAAACTACATATTATTATCTGTCATTTTCCGCAAGATTGTTTTTCCAGCTTCAAATTTGACGGAGTTTCCAATTTTTGAAAAAAGGTCTACTTTAGAAGTTTTTCCTGATTTTCTCTGTAAAAAATGAACCGATCGGGTCGCATAAAAAAATGTTTATAGGTTTTTTAATTCTCTACAAAAGTCCTATTGAGAGTAAGACGATTCCATCATTATTTTTTGAGATATAAAAAAAAACAAAAAATGTCATTTTTTTGCAGTTTTTATTGCTTAAAAAAAATTGTTTACGACATTGCTAGGGAAATCACTTGTGTTTTCATTTATTAAGTATTTTTCAAAAGGAAATACATGAAATTTGCTGTAATATTTAAGTGTAAAAACAGCCTCTTTTTTCGCTCTATTCGTTGGCCTATTATTCCAAATTCCATGTATGTGCGGTTAATGGAACTTTGTAGTGGGAAACCTTTCCAATGACCGAACAAAATTCCATCAGTGTACGTGTATCTACCACAAAGTTAACCATTAATTGTCATGGAAACACATATTGAACAGTGTATAGCGATCAAGTTCTGTTTTGAAGCCGACGAAACAGCCACCGAAACATATCAACTGTTGCAAATGGCATACAGTGAGGAGTGTGTATCATGTCTGACAGTATTCCTATGGTTCCAGAGGTTTTGTGATAGCTGACACAGCGAGCACGACGAGGAGAGAACGGGACGTCCACACGCAAACCAAACGAACGAAAACATCCTAACTGTGCGCCCTACGTTGAAGTCTAATTGTCGATCAACCACCAGAAGTTGGCAGACCATGAGTGTAACAGGCATCGAAAGGCTCGAAAGTAAACAGCAGTCGACTATATGGATTTTTCAAGTTGAGCCAAATCCAACAAGAGTTGTTCACGCAAGAAACAGTTCTAAGCAAGTAGTCGTCTTTTTCCGAAAAAATTGGACATAGTACCATGAGTGCAACGTCAGACGAGCAATTCTGAATGGTACACAACCATTTCTTTACCAGAAATCTTTGGAAAAATAAGCACAAAATAAGGAAAACTACTACCGAAGACGTATCATTCTCCACTAGGACAATGCGTGCTCTCACATATTGGCTCAAACAAGAGACATTTTGAGAATTGAATAAGTCAAATAGATGAGTCATCTGCCATACAGTACTGATTTGGCACTCAATGACTTTTTTATTCCTGCATCTCAAAAATAAATTGAGGTCAACATTTTTTGATGCCTGAAGAAGCAGTTGATGCGTTCAAAATGCACATATTTTAGGTACCTTAATCGGAATGGAACAAGTGCTTCGAAAATTGGTTCAAGCACATGCAAAATTGTATTGATCTCCATGGAGAATATTTTGAAGTACAATAAACCCATATACGATGATTAATTTCTTTTTTTGCTGCCTATTCTTGAAATATAAAAGCAACTCTCGTATTATGCAAGATAAAACACTTGTTTGATTTTAAAGTCTGCAGTTTCTGCAAATAAAACAGAACATGTAACCGTTATAGTTTTGCTATACAGGGTGATTCAAAATTCAGTACAAAAAATTTATTTTTGAGATCAAAATAAGACTTTTTTTATAAATGTGGGTCCACGAATGCTTAGTTTTCCATATACAGGGTGTTAAAGTTTTTTATTTTTAAGAAATAATTTCCAAACAGATTTAAATGTTGACATAAAACTTGGGGTACGGGGGTTTTTAGGATGCTAAATATGTTATTGCTTTTGACGCTGCTTGTATTTATTCCCCTTATCAATTTTAAGCAAGAAAGGTATACTTGGTCGAAATCTCTCAGACCAACCGTTTCCGAGATATTGGCTGATGAAAAGTTAAATGAACACCATATTTTCAAATTTTATAACTATTTACGGTGAAAAATTTTAAAATTTATTTTAGACACGTTTATAGGAAATAAAGTCTTATTGTGACCTCAGAAATATGCCCTAAATTCTTTGCACTGAATTTTAAATCAACCTGTATAGTGTTATATAAATAGAAAAGCTAAATAGAATATTCAAACTATTTATTTGTGTTTTTAAAGGAATAAGTTATTAAATTTAGTCTAATCTTGAACAGTTAGTAAGATATTGCAGTCTAATTTAGATCTTGTACAGGGTGTCCCAGAATAACGTATACAACGGAAGACCACAGATTCGTGGACTCAAAATAAGCAGATCTACGCCAATTCACCTACATCCGAAATCACTTAGTTTGGCCGCTAGATTGCCCCAAAGTTGAAAATTTTTGAATTTTGTAAATAACTCGGATACCTATTAATCGATTTGGATTATTTTTGAGGTGTGGACTTTTGCTTTCAATATACACATTTTGGTGTTATACAGAGTGGTTTTTTAAACTTACAACTCCTACAAAAATGATGTATGGCCAGAATATCCATTTATAACTTTTCCCTCTTTCGGGCAATAATGACAACTATTTTTTATCTGATACGTGATACCATTTGGAAGTTTTTGGACCCCTTGTAGAATTTTGATTAAATGAGCGGTTTGGGTACAAAAAATATTTTTTAAATGTCTCCCATATTACAATACTTAACAAAGTGCTAGTAGGCACTGATTTTGTAGGTCGACTGTAATTTCAGTCTGATTTTTAAGTTATTATGCCTGACAATTCTTAATGAGTGTTTATGACGATACGATATACCACCTTTTACTTCATTTTTCGATATGGATACGCACATATGACGAATTAGACTTATATACAATGTGCCTAATTGTAATCAAATAATTAGAAAAAACAATCAAATACAACACATTGATAGCATTATTATTGTCCCTGTTATTCTACCTAATAGGTAGGATAATGAGAAATTTTATTTAGAATTTTTGCAAACCACTTTACCCGAGTTATTGGAAGGTGTGCCATTATTACTTAGAGCTAACATGTAGTTTATGCATGATTAAGCTCCACCACATTTCACTATAAATGTCCAGCAATATCTGAACCAAAGATTCCCTCGTCGATTGATCGAAGAGTTGTGGAGGCATATCCTAATTGCCATAAATGTTTTAGAAAATCACCCTCAAGAACTGCAAAGGGTGTCCGTTAACTATCTTCACTGAATTAATCTTTGTTGTAGAAACAACGGTGATCATTTTGAACAGTTCTTATTGTTGTACTAAATTTGATAATATCAACTTTGTTTTGTTTATCTCCAGCATTTTTTATTGTATTTGATTGTTTTTACTAATTATCTCAATAAAATTACGCATGTACATATAGGCCAGTCATTATAGATTTTTTTCGGGAAAAAAATACTATTAGAATTTTTTTTTGCAGAATATTCTTCGGAAACGTGTTATAAACAAATTATCAAAAAATCAACTTGAGACTAGTTGGGAAACTTTGTTAAAACAATGGTCAAAGTTATGGAAAAGTGGTTTTTTGACTCGCTTAAAAAAACTTTTATTCATAGAGAAAAAAGGTGTATACAAAAAAGGTAGGTATTAGATAAATCTGTAAAATAAGACAAGTCCGATTAAATTCCGATAATTTGTTTATGCGCAAGAGCTCAAAAATGGTCAAAAATGACCGTTTTTTCCAATTGCTAATAATTAATGCAATTTTCATAACTTGTAATTCAGGATTTTTGAAGGACTTTGCACCCTTAATAAGTGGTAAAAATTTCAGCCCGAAAGCTTTATTAGTTTGGCATTGGCGGAATTTGTTATCTAAGAAGATGCTATTTTCAATTGATTTTTCCCAAGCTCAAGGGCATTGTAGAGTTTCGATCATTAGTTGTTTTTGTACCGAAATAGTTGTATTGACATATGCATTTACTGAGAATTTAATTTTTCAAATTTAATTTGTTTAAAAATTAATATTTATTAAATTGTTGAGAAATAGAGGATGTAGGCAGGCCCATAGTTTTATACATGGACCTAGCAAATCCAAGACGAGATGGCTGCTGAGCCTCGGTCGAAGAGCCCTAAACCAAATGGTGGGGGATCTGACAGGCCACTGCAGACTTAGGAGGCATTTAAGCTTAATAGGAATTGAGAAGGACCCTCTATGCCCGAAACGTGGCGAAGGGGAGGACACCCCTGTCCACCTTCTGGGACAGTGTGCAGCCTTTGGGAGAATAAGACATAAAATCTTTGGTGTTAAAGAGCTGCAAGGGGTTGAGGTGAGAGACCTTCCATGGACCAAAATTCTGGCGTTCATCAGGGCGTCGGGTAGGTTCGGGGAGGGTCAGAGGCAGAGAGTGGTTAGGTGATGGGACGGCGGGGTGGGCAAAAAGGGCCCACTTGTGGCCTAATTGCCAGGCTGAGGCCGCCCCTTTTACTACTACTACTACTAATATTTATTAAATTGTTAAGATAGGTAATTATTATGAAATGAGATAGTAACGTCTATAGTTTAGTTAGTACTATTTTTCTTTGAATTAAAAAAAAAATTGTTCTATGTTGAGACAATTTTTTTTTATTTAATCGCAGTGTCCTTAATTATTAAGAGCCGAAATTTGGAGAGAGTATGCATTAAGAGCTATATTTTCATGTCCTACATTAATATTAAGGTGAATTCAACTATTTAATTGCAAAAAAGAAGATAGCGGTGATGCGTTCTATTACTCGGTCTAGCGTGGGAAGAGCGAGGCTAAATAAAAATTTAAATCTCGGGTTGAAGTAATGCTTCAATGCTCATGAATTTTCGCGCTACCACAAATTAAAAAAAGAATCATCTCGATAGATTCATTATTAACCGAGATATGGCTAATTTTTCCAGCTCCATCGATTTGAATCGGCTTGATCATTTCCCTGCGCGCAAACAGGTGCGTAGCGCGCATGCTCCGCCTCGCTCTCCCCTCGCATTCGCTAGACCGAGTAATAGAACGCATCGCCGCTATCTTCTTTTTTGCAATTAAATAGTTGAATTCACCTTAATGTTAATGTAGGACATGAAAATATAGCTCTTAATGTATATTCTCGCCAAATTTCGGCTCTTAATATTAATAATTAAGGTCACTGCGATTAAATAAAAAAAAAAAATTATCTCAGCTTCTAATCAACTTACAACAACGATTTTTTTTTAAATTCGAAGAAAACTAAAGTAAAGAGGTTACTATTTTATTTTATAATAATTACCTATCTTAACAATTTAATAAATATTAACATTTTTTCAGTCAATTTTAAACAAATTAAATTTGAAAAACTAAATTCTCAGTAAATGCCTATGTCAATACAACTATTTAGGTACAAAAACAACTAATGATCAAAACCCTACAACGCCTGTGAGCTTGGGAAAAATGAATTGAAAATAGCATCTTCTTAGATAACAAATTCCGCCAACGCCAAACCAATGAAGCTTTCGAGCTGAAATTTTTACCACTTATTAAGGGTGTAAAAAGCCTCAAAAATCCTGAATTACAAGTGTCTGCGATGAAAATTGCATTAATTATTAGCAATTGAAAAAAACGGCAATTTTCGACCATTTTTGAGCTCTTGTGCATAAACAAATTATCGGAATTTAATCGGACTTGTCTCATTTTATAGGCTTATTTAATACCTACCTTTTTTGTATAAACTTTTTTTCGCTATGAATAATAGTTTTTTTACGCATGTCAAAAAACCACTTTTCCATAACTTTGACCATTGTTTAAACAAAGCTTCCCAACTAGCCTCGAGTTGATTTTTTGATATTTTGTTTATAACACGTTTCCGAACAATATTCCGCAGAGAAACTTCTAATAGTATTTTTTTCCCGAAACAGGTTGTTTCATGTCTATAATGACAGGACTAATAACTGTAATGCATCGTATGTGTGTGTATCCATATCGCAAAATGAAGTAACATGGTAATATATCTTATTGTAGTAAATGCTCATTAAGAATTGGCAGCTACAATGATTTAAAGATCAAACTGAAATTACAGTCAACCTACCAAATCAGTGTCTACTAGCACTTTGTTAAGTATTGTAATATGGGTGGCAAGATAATGTAGACATTTGAAAAATATTTTTTTTGTACCTAAACCCCTCATTTAATAAAAATTCTACAAGAGTCCAAAAAGCTTCCAAATGGTATCACCTATCAGATAAAAAATTGTTGTCATTATTGCCAGAAAGAGGAAAAAATTATGAATGGATATTGTCACCATACATCAATTTTGTAGGTGGTGTAAGTTTTAAAAAACACTCTGTATAATACCAAAATGTGTAGATCGAAAGCAAAAGTTCACACCCCAAAAATAATCAAAATCGATTAATACGTATTCGAGTTATTAACAAAATTCAAAAAATTTTCACCAACTTTGATGCCACCTAGTGGAAAAATGAAGCGATTTCGGATATAGGCGAATTAGCTTAAATCTGCCTATTTTAAGTCCACGAATCTGTGGTCTTTCGTTGTACACGTTATTTTGGGACAACCTGTATAAATAATTTTGGTGGAGTTCATGAAAAATCTTTTATATTTGGGAATAGTTATAAAGCCTAATATTTTAGAACATATTGTATTAGTATATGCGATATTATATGTATAGCATTTTTTTTTAATTTTGAAGAAAATAATCGACTCCACGTGTAAAATTTTTTTTCATGGTTCATTCTTTTGTTATTATCACAGCATAAACCACAGCAAAATGTTCAATTTAACATATCCTTTAAAAATACACTGTGCAGGTCATAGAGTATTCAAATTTATATAAATATTTTCTTTTTTTTAGTTTACAAATTCGATTAGCTGATGGTTCAAGACTGGTAGGACAATTTAACTATGAACATACAATAGGAGAAGTTAGGTCTTACATTCAAGCAGCCCGGCCACAATATCAATCGCAGCCCTTCAACTTGCTTTCTACTTATCCATCCAAAGTCTTAGACGATGCACAAACATTACAAGCTGCTGGTTTGCTGAATGCAGCGATCATGCAAAAATTAATTTAATCTCAAGACAATACTTACGCTTTATTAGATATAGGCTTGTTTAAATTGGACTTAGTTAATTTAATCCTGTTGTTTATATTGTTTGTTAAATATAAATATTCTTATTTTCATATATTCAAAAAATTTGGTGTTTCATAAGAAACTAAAATTTACAATTCTGTTTTTTTTCATTATAATATTTAAGTGCACTGTATAAAAATTTGAAAATGTATATCACATGCATACGGTGTGTTTCACTTTAAACAACTTTGAAAAACGAGTTGACTTTCAAACATTTTTTGCAGCGTAGTGAGTATTTAGTGACATGTTCAAAAACCTTTGCCATAAATTGAAGATCATCAGCTTTTAAAAAAACTAATGGTTTAAATTAGTTGTAGTCTTGCTATACTAAAACCAAAATTTAATTTCAATATAGGATACAGTGTTTGTTTTAGTAAGTACAATAATTTTTAAAATACAGTTATTGGAAGATCCTGTATAAAATTATATTGAGACATTTTTTGTTTGGGCTTGTAAAAAAATATCTTTGTACAGATTGATAAAAAGTGTTTATTATTTACTAAAATTTAGTGGTTTAGATGCAGTGCAGTAGGCAGGGACGTATTTTCCTAAAAGCGTAGGGGGCGATTGCCCGGGGCGGCCTTTTCCAGAGGGGCAGTCGAAAGATTGTCCCTCTGGGTTTTTTTGCTGATATTTTATATTAATTAAGAGGTACTGGAGCGGCCGATCATATTCGCCCAGGGCGCATAATTCAGAAATATGTTCCTGGCAGTAGGGTCTTGTTAGTGTAATCACAGTATTATGAAAAAATAAATAAATAAGTAATAACTTTATAGAATTTTTAACAAAATAATTTGTTGCATGTTTATGTTTTCAACATTTCTTTATTTATTTGTAAAAAATAAAATTTAAAAATTGCAGATACTGAACACCTTGTGTGATCTATCAAAATGAAATCTTGGTATTAGCAAATGCTGATTCAATTCAATTAACCTATGAGTTTTTTCTTTAATAGTTTTCGTAGATTTTTTATTGTAGTAGGTCATGAAAATGGGATATAAACAGAATATACATGAGTTAGTTCTCATCGAGTACTCCATGCCGAAAAAAAAAATTGAAAATTGACCTAACTGGTCTAAAATACAAAAATGGTGCTGTTCAAACTGGAACACGCTGTAGATATATAAGTTAAATACCGAAAGGTATTAAATACATCCAAGTATTCCAAGTTAATATTATTTATTTATAAAAAAAGAATTGCAAATACCATTATAAAACAACTTAAATACAAGTCTTGATAAACCTTTTCTATTTATTTTGCAGCCTAAATTATCCTTTAATATAATCTAAAGTTGCAAATTATTTAAAATATTATCTTCACAGATAATGCTTTGTATCAATATAACTCTTTAATTAACATTTAATAAAATAATTAAATTATGTGGCAGTAAATAACAGAATTAATTTAATATTGAATATTTTCACATCTGTTTTGGATTACATCCTCGCATTGATGGTTCATACTGAAAAAGACTATTTGAATCATTCCAGATGATTCCGTATTCCAAGATGCCCCAGGTCCTTCATGTTATAAGACTGACTGAGATGATGGCATATCCCAAACATTTTCAGTGGGATTGATGTCTGAATTTGTGCAGGCTAGGCAATAGCAACTTCAACATTCCAGAAATGGTGCATTAATTGCTTGTATTACACTACCAACCTTTAGTGATGTCTTCAGAAAATTAAAGCGATCATATTTTTATAATGAAGCGTGAGACCCATATTGTTTGTTAAAGGATGATTTCTGGGTCGACATAGAGAACTTTTATGATGAAAAAAATTTGAATGAAATGTGCGAAATAAAAAATTGAAATAGGGGTGAGCGATCATGAAATTTTTATAAAGTGTTGCACATCTATTTGCAAAATACTTTTTACCATAACCAGCTGATAAATAGAAACAGGTATTTTCTTAGTTTTTCGTAAAATTTCTGTTTTTATAAAAGCATTATGAAGATTGAAAAAATGAAATGTTCGTATCAAATTAAAACTTAATTAGATATAAAAAACAGTTTATGGAAAAAAAATTTTGCAAATATGTGTGCAACCCTTTCCAAGATCTCAGTTGGCCATTTTTATTTAAATTTTTTTATTCACAAATAATTTTACTTGAAATTTTTTCATTACTCTGTGGGTGTAATCGTCCCCCAAAAAAAAAAAAAATGAAAAGACGACCACTTTAATTTTTACGAGCAGTCACTGCCAACTTTGAGAGTAAAATTACAATACCGAATTTATTGTGGAATTATACATTATTTTTCGTATTTATGATATTCAATAGATGTACATATTATATATTGATGGTTTTAAAGTGTTATGCGCAATAAATACTGTATTGGTATCAACATTTGCAACAGCTTTCTACTGTAAAATGTAAATATTCGTAATTATCACATAACATCTAATTTATTTTTTCTTCAAGTATTTAATTATTTAGTCTGTAAAAGCATATCTGTGCATGTAAGTTATTCTAAAAATCAGCGCCTCATAATCGCTGATTATTTTGTGATATATATTCACTTTATAACACTTAAATTGAAAAATCAGAGCTGTAAATTTTTTAAAGTGGTCATATGTTTTCACATTAAATTTTTTGAACAATTTCAGTGTACTATGAGTAAGTTCAAATACACAATATAGATATCGAATTATATTTGCGAATTTTTATTACATGTATTATAAATAAAAAAATCACACTCATTTTTTATAGATCTCTAAAAATTTGATGCATGTACAAATATTTTCAAATTTTCAATTTAACAACTAATTAAAGATTTTTTAAGAGAGGAAGGGTTGGAACACAGAAGATTTTCAAGAATTTTCAAGGAAAAATCTATACAAGATTTAGTGTCAGGAACAAAAAGGCTATATTGTACATGTTTTCAGGTAGTATTGTGAATGTTTTCAAATGATTTGGATTCAAAATGGCTGCTGTAGGTGATAGCAAGCAACGACATCTTTTTTTCAGAGGGCTGTATGGCTGGGAACAAAAAACAAACACGGGTTTTTTGTAATTTGTCGCTTTGGTTCTTTTTGGTCCTGACTGTTCCTGAAACATACGAAGTTAGCATGGGGGGTGGGAGGGAAAGCACGTTAAGGTAGTCATCCCGGGTCACTGAGTAAGTGTAAGTAAGGTCGTCTGTATGTGTCGTGTCACATCAGGTGGGTACATAGTCAACGGCTTGTCTGAGGAGAGGGTTATCTGTCTCGTGACTGCATCCATACATTTTTGGGTGTGTGTACGTATTGTCTGTGTGGCGTTAGTGAATTTTAAATATCGTAAAATGTCGGTGTTCCTTACGTACCAGGGCGTGGCGGTGGCTGTGCGTAAGGCTGTGTTTTCCACAGCCTGGAACGATTTACTGTGGCTTTTTGCCGCCTAACACCACGTCGCGGAGGCGTAGGTTAGCTGCAGTTAAAGTACCACCTTGATTAGCGTTCGCTTATTTCTTAAACTTAGGGTCGAATTTGAGTAATGGATAGAGCATAGCCTTGGTCTTCGCTCGCGCCACTGTCTCTGCGACAGGGGCGCCCTTAACCATTGCGAGGCTCTGGGCGGTATGCGACAGGTCTTTGCGAGGCCCTTGTTCTTTGTGAAATGTACTTAAATCGAATTTAGATATTTCTGAAGATTAAAGAGAAATGTAAAAGTTATAAATTTTGAGTTTGTAAATATTTATATTAAGTTATTAAGAGATTTTTAAAAATTAACATAGACAACACATTTTTAATGATAAAATAAGGTACAAGATTCAAACATATTTTTCAATTATGTTTTACAGTCAAATTACAATAAACATTATTATCCACTGATAAATTAATTGATTTTGATATGAGAAATTTTATTTATTATTACTACTTGTTAAGTATCAATATATTTACTTACTATGAATTAACTAACTTTATTTTATTGTTATATACCTCTATAACTAATAGCTAAGGATAAAATAAAGTTTTAAATGTAAACTTTTTTTACTTGTTGCGCGAGGTCCCTGCAAGAGCGAGAGCTAGGCCCCGGGCCAAAGCTTAATAATATACAGCTAGAAGAGTCCGTGTCGGCGCCTTTGATGTGGCGGTCGAGAACCAAGCGAGACGGAATCGTGCTAACTCTCTCAGATTAAGCGGAATAGTCAGGGTTGGATTAAAAGAATTTTTATTGAAATAAAATGTTTAGTTTCTACCTGACAGAACCGTAGCAGGGAATTTTAATATGAAATTTGAATTACAATATTACGTGGTATGACATTAAAAGTAGAAAATGGGTATTTTAGATAGGTAATAGGTTTTGTACTTGGAGTTAATACGGATTATTAAAAGAAAACTTGAAGAGTAATTAAAATTCCTTATTGTAAGCTCCTGTTTGCTGACGTAATCCTTAGAGAATGGAAACAAAAATAAAGATTATTATCAGCAGGGGCAAACTGATCAGAAGTCTTAAAAGGGCGCTGTTTGTGGTATTTATAGAACCAGTGATTTTAATTAAATCAATATATTATCGCAATAAAGGAATGTCATAAAACAGTATCCATCTAGTACCAAAATAAATGGTGAAAATGGTGTGAAATAAAATTGCGTAGTTTTTAATAAGTTGTATTGCCTAATGTAAACAAACAAAACAAAAATTCCTATAGTTATACATATAAAACATACCTACAATATACAAAAAAATATAATCATTACAGATTTCTTCATATTATAAGTTTATTTTTGTGAATATTCTTAAAATTTTGGTTTATAGTTTTTAATGTATAATAAATTCTTAGCCTTAAATATAAGCTAAATACAAATTCTTTCGGAAAAGAATTACATTGATGACTAAAAGGTAGTTTTTTAATTAATTGAAGAAGTGTGCTACAAATGTTATTTTTCGTGGATAATTGTTCAAAATTATCTTGAAATATTTTTTCAGTTTTACAAATAAACTCAACAAAGTTATTGTTTGGCATTTGCAGTTTTCCAAATAAGGAATCTTCATTTTCATTATTATATGCCTTCAAAAAACAATAAAAAGAAGAATCATCCAATTCATTATAATCTTTGCTATAATTGGTGCAAGTATCACAGGAGTGTATCCGCAGGACTTTGTTTAAAAGGTAGCCACACACGTACCTAATAAAATTTTTTTGCAATAACTCGTCCTTACAATAATTCATGCTATTGATTATTTTAATGTTTGCATCTTTAATATGGGGGGTTTCATTCTTAGTCTCGGAATCGTCTTTAGAGTCAAGAAGCCTTAAAAGCAGCTGATCCGAATCTCCCTGGCAGTTTTCTGCACTGCAACTTTCTAAAGCTCCTGTGAAACTGTATGGCCGTCGGGTTAATACAGTTACCGCTTTTACTCCTAATTTTGCCAAAATGATTCTCCAAACAATCTTGGTTTAGTCTTTTCGTCAGTAAATAATCAAACCCCGCAGTGTCACGAAGATAGTTAAATAAATTTATGACACCATTTATGGAAATTTTAAGACTATTGATAAACTCAGTTTTCTTTGTGATGTTTACATTATTTTTGTCTCGAACTTCAAGTTTGTCAAAAAGAGTCATGCATTCTGGTAAAAATTCCAATTGAAAGGGTTGACCTTTAAAAGCAGCATTATATTTTTTTGGGGAAAAACTTTGAGAGGAATTTAAAATATCAAACAGCTGGTCAATTGTGTGAACAAACTGCGCAGTTTCAGCAGCTTCTGCGGGAAGGGACCCAAATCTTATATAAAAGCTCATCCCTACATGAAATGAAAAACTAAATACTTGCGTGGCTACTTTCTTCTTTTAAAAATTTGTGGGGTAAATGTGGGCATCTGTCAATTTATGTGCTGCTTTTACAGGAAATTTTTTATCTATTTCGTAAAATTCTCTTATGTATTGCCACGATATTTTTTTGCCATCAAAATAAAAGTTATAATTCATTAGCATATTTGCTTTGATAGACATTTCATCGAAACATAATAGGCAATATTTTATTTTGTTCCTGAAAACTGGCAACCTTTTTTTTATAATTTATAAAATTCAGGGTTTTCTAGTTCTGGTACTATTTTAACTGCCCGAATTTCATTGAGTAACGTATTTGGCGAGGGAAGACCATATTTATTCATTAAATATTGTTTATAAACATGGGGACCCGCAAAATATATCGATAAACATTCAATTTTGAATTCTTTGGTATAACGTCTATCCTTTGGATGTTTACACCCCTGTGCTACTTGCATATACATTTAGCAGTGTCTACAGAATTACAAAATTTGAATGTTAAAGACATATATTGTTCAAGAGATATATTATCCAATTGATTATTTAATTTACTTTCGAGTACTTGAACCCGTTCTCGTAAATATTTGTTCTCTGCTTGTAATGCCTTAATATTCTGCCTATATTTGACTTTCCTTGGGGAGTTCTGAGTTAAACTGGCTAACATTTGTGTAGATGTTGGAGACATCAAAGGCGAACTTATTGTTTCCACAGGACTGAATTCATTTTGGACCTCGGTTTCGGTCTCGGTCTCATGTGTCTGATCTTCGGTCTGATAATCAGCTGTAAAAATATGTTATGCTTGATGTTTGCAATAATAATTAAATATGGATCATATTTTTTCTACAACTAAGTATAAAAATGTAAAAACTTATTTCTAACCAAGGAATAAATTATTCCGTTAAAAAAACTGAACACTTTCTCATAGAGCAAACTATTATTTATTTTTGAGTTGGCCCATCTTGAATGCATAACAATAATATAAGGTAATAATAAATATTGTAATACCTGAGTCAGTTTGTGTAACACCTGGAACCAAAACTCTGTTATCCAGGACTCTTATTTTTGCAGGAAGCAGCAAGGGTGTACTATAAGAATGTTCATCTATACCAGCTTTAAATAGGGTGTAGGATATGCAGTGGCTACTAATCGTGTGTGAAGACGACTGGTGAACATCCTATCTTCAAAATGACTTTTCGCATAGCATATAACTGTTATGTAGGTCGTCCAGTTTTGCCCTGTAAAAATTATTTATTTACATAATAATTATTGTGAATACGTTAAAAAATTTAATAGAAATATTTTTAAACAATATCTCTTTTTATTTATTTTATTTCCATTTTGAATACTTATTTAAAAAATAAGCGTCTTAATAAGTAAATTATAATAACTAATATGAATTTGGACTAGGACTTTANCATAGAATAATGGCGCGCGGCGCCTGTCACTCCTGTCAGCACAAAACATAGAAAAGCCTGTCAGTGTTAATTCTGTTAATTAATTATAAATTTATTATTGACATTTTGAAGTTTTCGTTATCCCGTTAAACGACTAAAGGTCATTTGACTCTTTGTTTTTTGTTCTTCATACTTTGTACTTTTGTACATACAATGCCTGTAAAGAGTAATGGTAATGAAAATATAGAAAATGAAATTCAGCAATCAATCCATCCACCTTCTGAACAACAGCAGCCAGTTTATGAAATTACTTTAACGGATAAACTAAATAAACGTCTTTTACAATCATTTTTAAGTAGAATTAATAATTTTGAACATAATTTTAATAAAATGAATAGTGAGACTCATACCTCCACAGATGAAGAAAATGAATTTAATTGAATTTGTATCATGTAACATAACCTCAAATAGTAAATAAGAGCGGGAGTTGTGTTGAACTGCTTGTCTTTTATTTAGTGGTTTATATTGTTTATAATCCATATATAATATATAAAAATGTCTGAAGACGAAGCTGTGGGCAATATTAACAACGACTTGGAAATAATTCTCGATGGAGATGAAGCAGAGTATACAGAAGAGCAATCTGGAGAAGTTAATGGTGAGGAAAATCAAGAAAGTGCAGAGGGTCAAACAAGAAAGGAGGTCAAACAAAAAAGAATTGTTAAAAATCCTCAACCTAAACTTAATGAACAAACTTTGAAAGGACCTAAGGGTCTTGCAGCCATCGAAAGTTATTTTGAAAAAGTAAAATTTAAAGGACGTGGATATGAAGAACAAGATTTAAATATTCTTTTAAAAATCTATGAATACTGGTGTCATCGCCTATTCCCTAAATTTCCTTTTGACAGCTGTATAGCAAGATTAGAAAAATTGGGAACCAAGAGAGCAACTCAGGTATTTAAAGATTTTAGTTGTAGGCATTTGCTATATTACTATTATTAATAAGTTAAGTTAGGTATTTATGAAATTACTAATCTTTCTCTTAATAATTATAAATTTTTATAAAATTCTATTTTTTTTTTAATTATAATTTTTGGAACCTTAATCACAATTTCATCTTATTCTTGGCTTAGAATATGAATAGGATTAGAAATCAATCTTCTTTCTTTTATCCCCTTGTGGAAAGATAGAAAAAAATCTATACCCTGCAGAATCAGCCTTAAAATACTTTATCACTCGATCTTTGGCAATTATTCTGTTGTTAATTTTAAAAGAATTTTTTTTAGAAACCTTTCAATTCTTATTTATTATTATAAATTCTGCTCTTTTAACTAAAATAGGAGCAGTTTCTTTCCATGCCTGATACCCTGAAGTAATGGATGGTCGAAATTGAATAATAGGATTATTAATATTAACTTGACAAAAAATTGACCCAATAATTTAAATTTTTTATAATTATCAAATAAGATTTTTATTGGTTATTATCCTTGTTTCTACCATTTTAAGAGGAATTTTAGTCAAATTAGATTGCGTAAAATTCTAGCATATTCATCTATTAATCATATTAGTTGAATATTAGCCAGACTACTCTAATGTCAAATAAATTTACTTTCTCATTTATTTAATTATTACATTCAACATTTTTAAAATTCTCCATATTTTTTCCTTGCCTCAATTATTCAATTCTATAAATTTTCCTTTCTTTTAAACTTTTACTAGGTGGAAGATTCCTAAGAATGGTGGTATTCTTAGGATTCTTCCCTAAATGATTAGTAATTAACAATTTGATTTTAAATAATTTCTACTATTTAAGTATTCTCTTAATTATTTTTACTAAAATTACCCTATACTTTTACTTACGAATTAGCTTTTCATCCTTAATCCTAATCCCTCGCCTAATCCTGTTTAGGGCATTCTATTAACAATAAGTCAAACATCATTAAGTAATATAGATTCTACAGTAATAATTAAATAAGGGAATTAAATATTTTGGAAACTTAGATCTTCTAATTTGAGATGGGGAGTACTAATGCACACTTCCATTATCATATCAGTTACAGTGACTCGTTTTAGCTTGTAATTTCTAATGCCGTTTGTAAGAAAAAAAGATGATTTTATTTGACGAATGAGTTGTTTTTAGGGCTGCGATTTCTTTTATTTTAAAATAATTTCGAGAAGAAACATTGCCACTTTGGTTTACATAAAAAAAAGAAGTGCGATGAGAAATTAAAACTTAATTTCCTAACTTAGTGGCGTTGAAATTTTGAGGTTTCGAGTGGTATTCACCTTATTTGTGCCAGTGGTTGAAGTATTATTTGTAACTTAACTTAGCAAATATTTGCCTATTAGATAAATTATTCCTTGAATTTTTATCAATCTGTCAAATATCTTTCGATATTTTGAAAAATGTGATATTTTCTTAATTTTCAATATAACGTTTATATGAAAGTTTTTACTTAAAATCCATCTGTTCTATTATCTAGTAAAGTTTCCCAATTAATACCTGAGACACCCTGTATATACAGGCATCTATACAATCAAGTACCATAGTGATTGTTTCACTACGAGATCTGTAAGGTATAATTTTTTTTTGGAGGGCGACAACATGGCTTAATTACATAATTCAGTACCGAGTTCAGTACCCTTTAAAACCTCAATTAGACAAATTTAACTAATTTAATTTTAAAAAAGCGTGAATTTCTGTTTCCATTGAAAAATTTAGTATGCCTCTAAAGTACCTATGTACTTGGAAATAGTAAAGTACCTAATATGAGAAGGGTTTTAAAAGTTGTTACAGTCTTCTTGTGTAATAAATTAATCAAACTTGGGATGTGTTCTCAAAATTAAGATGCCTTTTGCTCATTTTAAATGGAAACACCTTTGTAAAGAAGGTATTTGTTGATTAATTTAATTGTCTTTTTTTAATGGTACATCTTAAAAGAACCCTATTACATCATATGACATTCGAATTTACTTTCAGTTATTACAGCCTACTTATTATATTTTGAATGACTAATTTGACAAAAATTGGTTAGTGATTTTATTTAAATCTGATTTTACTAGATTCTGCACTCCACCTAATTTGGTTTAAATTAAATTGAACAAATGTTTTAAATTATAATAGATGAGCCTTTTATAATATTATATTATAAAATTCGATTTAAAAATTAAACCATTTTTGATTTATTACTTTTTTAACNGCTCAGCCTCGGCTAACGCCTCGGCGAGCAAACTTTTGGGCTCAACACATAATGATCGCCTTCTACTCCTAGTAACATAATATACTATTGTTTTTTTAGGACATTATTTTGTGATATTTTGTTGAATGTTTATTTCGACGTTTACAAAAGTAGCTCGATGGGGTAATTATTTAGTATAGTGCCACCATCTCCAATTTTCACAAAATTTTGTCTACCCCATTTTCGATGGTGCTGAACACGAATCTGAAGTTCTTTTTGTGCGGTCGAACCCTGTTTTCGAGAAAAAATTTTTTCAAAATTCTATCCCGGATATTTCAGCTAACACTACGTAGAACTCTGTATATTTTATGTAACTTTCAAAACATCTGTAATAAATAATCAACATTGTTTAAGAAACACATAAGTATTCCCAAATTTGAACTAAAAAAAGTATGTATTTAATAAACAAAATTATAGTAACTTTATGTGGGATGAACAGAGATGAATGAGAGTGGGGTAACTCGCGCGCCATTATTCCATGGCTAGAAATTGGCCTCAATGTTTTGGAATCGAGGGGGATTAGGAGAGTATGGGGAGTGTGTATGTGTGTGTGTGTGTTGTTGTCAGGGAGACTATACCGACTATACAAGGAGCCCGAACTCCATGTAAACAAAAATCTTATAAAAATAAGAGGGCGCTAGTGTTCCATATGTCCCATATGTAGAGAGGGGAGATAAAAAGCGGCAGTTTGAATTATAAATCAATCATGTCATTTTTGTAATGTGTTAAAAATTTTAAAATAAATAATGTAAGCTACTTTGAATTATATAAATCATGAAAATATGTCATTCCGGACTGTAATTAAACTAAATAGATAATAAAAAATATTAGCTTTATGAGAAGAATTTGGTGTTCGTAGAAAGAAACTAGTTTTCAAGGAATTTATGACGTGATCTTGTTAATATTAACCTATAAGTAAGGTTTATGTTTTTGATANTTTATAATAAACTTATATAATGTATTTTGCAAAAAGAAAGGAATATTTAAGATTTGAGCTAGCATGTTTTCCAAGCTTAATTTGAGATAGCATGTTTTCGAACCGAAATCTGAGATAGCATATTTTCCTATTTACCCTATTTAATTTATTATTCCGTAAATTTTTTTCCCATGGAAGTTCTCAGTGTGGATCTACTTGTAGAAATCATCATTTAAAAAATGAGTCCCAAGTTTCATTATCAAAATATGACCACTTCAATTTTTACGAGCCAAATACAAAACAAATACGTTTTTCGTAATTTAATTATCTAGTTGATTTGACTGTTTTTGTGATATTTTTGTAATTAGTAGGTACTTGTCAAGTACCTACTAATTACACTACTTGTCCAGGATGTAAAAAAATAATAGTCAAAATGTTTAGGTTGAATATATTGTCAAAATATTTCTTATTAAATTCTATAAAAATATTCAATTCGGTCATAGGTTGATTTATGTTAAGAATAATAAAAATATTATTTTTTCATTAGTTTTTGCTTTATACAGCTATATCTCACACACCATTTTTTATATTATTGTTTTAAGATAAAAAATGTATGTATTAACAAATATAGCCAACAAAAAGTTGATTCAAAATATTTTTAAGTTCCTATCTTATTGCTAGGGGCACATGGTATTTCAAAAAACCAATATTATACTTTTATAACCTTTATTCAGTCACCCACAAATTGTGTTTCAACAATTTTATTTACCATGAAGTTAGGATATATGTTGAATTTTTTGCAGCTCTTATCTGAATTCAACAAATTATGGCTTATTTTAAAGAATTCTCTAATCCGATATATATACAGGGTGTAACGGATGCTGATGGCCAAATTTCAGGGGGTTATTATACAAGTAATTCTCGACAAAAAAGTATTATAAGATTTTTTTGGAAAGTTGATAGTTGCTCTTTTATTTAACATTCTATGATTTCAAAAAATTTTGTGCCTTTTTTTCATAAAATCAAAAATATCTTACATTATTCTTACAGCCACATCAAATTTAGACATACCATCGGAGAGAGCGTTAAATTTACTACAAGACGAGCATATATGAGTATTTAAAAGATCTTCTATACCAGGTGCTGTAAAAAGTTAAATGTAATAATTGTGAAATGAGCAAAATTAGTGGTATCACCTTATTAGTGGTAACGCCAAAAATTTGTTAATGAGGACGTGTTTTTTCTTCAGCAAAAACTACTGTATTTAGTAAGCTTTTCGACGATATATCAACTTTTGAGTTTGCTATTTTTTTTTGGCAACAATATCAAGGGCAAAGGTAATAAAACCGTAAAAATCGAAAATACACAAACTTTATAGTACTTTATTTTTATTTTAAGTCTGTTCGTATTACTCCATGCGTGTAGTTTTTGTTGGAGTTTCTTCAAAAAACCTGTTTTTTTAACTCTCCCTCTTTCTCCTATAATCCGAAATATTGTTACAAACGTGTTTTTGTTTAGAATGCGTCTTTCATGATAGATAAATGCCAAGGCTGCTGTGAAAAACAATATTAACACAACTGTCAAAATCATAAAATTACTTTAAGTGTTCTTGTTGATTACTTAAGTATCTAAATAATTGAAGATGCCACGTTTTTTCACAAATAACGAGTATCGAGATATTTTATTTGTGTATGGTGTTGGTGATGGTTTTGTTTTTATGAAAAAAGCACAAATTTTTTTTAAATAAAAAAATGTTAAATAAAAGAGTAACTATAAACTTTCCAAAAAAATCTTATAATACTTTTTTGTTGAAAATTACTTGTATAATAACCCCCTGAAGTTTGGCCATCAGTATCCGTTACACCCTGTATATAAAAAATCAACATGTTCTCAATCCTTGCAGTTATTGCTACAGGAAAAAAATTGTTGAATTAAAATTGACTGAACATATATTTTAAAAAGTATATTTCTGACCTACATTGTATGCTATATATTTAAAAATATTAACGATTTTTCTTGTAAATCCATGATAAATGCATGTCCTGTCGAAGTAAAGAAATTCTGTTTTTGTTTATATTTGTTAATAAATTTTTTACCTGTTGTCCAAGGTATAGTCGCTCTGTAGCCTTAATTGTTCATCATAAATAAAGTAATTTTTTGTTTTAGACCCAGTTAAAGAGAATTCGAATGGGTTTGAATTTTGACGAAGTTCAAAATACAATACTAAATGATGAAGAGTTGAATGTTACTGAAGGTTTTGTAGATAATGTTACTGAAGGTTTTGTAGATACATATAATGATCAATTTGATCAGATAATGTCAACTACATTAGTTACTGATCCAGAATCTGAATTTAATGAAGGACAGTTAGAAAGAATACGGCAAAATAAGGAAAGAGCAAAGCGTTTAAGAAAAGACAAATTAAGAAAACTCCAAGAAACCATCCAAAATTCTGAGGTACAAAATCAAATGGACGCTCATGATACTGAAAGTTTTAGCAGTGTTGCTAGTGATCATAATGGTCAAAGTGGCATTAGTGATTTACAAGATTCTGATAGAATGCAGACTGAAGATAATGATGGAAATGAAGTAGGTGGTAATGAAGATGACATTGAGAATATTTTAGATTATATTAATACTGATGAAAATCCAGCAAATGCCAAAGAATCGAGTATTAGAGAGAATTCTACTACATGTCAGAATCAAGACGATGAGGAAAATTCTCAAACTGGGAAGCAATTTTTGAGTTTGAATGATGAATCTAATCTGAGCAAAATTTTACCTAATAGTAGTAGTCCAAGTCAGCTGGATATTGGTAGCGGTAACGACTGTCAAATAGAAACCCAAATCCAACCAGATGAATATAGCCCACAGGAAAATGTAAATTATATAAGTTCTAACTCAGAAAATGAAAATAATAAATAGTTCTGTTTTAGGTTATGTTACAATGAAGAATAAAGTAAAATTTAATATTTTATTATTTGTATACTTATTTCTTAAATCACATCTTTTTACTAAAGCTAATAAAATATATTTACATTGTAAGCTTTATACATTAGTTAGAAAAAATGATAGTGGTTTATACATTTATAACTGCTTAACAGATCTGTAGTATAAAATTAGAAAAATCACTTTTTGCTTCTTTATAAATAGCAATTGATGCACCAATACAGAAAAATTTAATAAACACTGATAGAACTTTTATTACATTCAACAATATTTATTACATTATAGCCAGTTAAAGTATATACAGGACAGAAATTTACTTAGCAAGTAATCGAGTACTATTTCAAACCAATATATAAATATATTTTGATATAATTTCATCAATAATTTTTAAAATTATTTTGTAAGTTGTCATTTTCAAAAGAAATGTTTTTATATAGCATTAGGAATCTCTGGTATTAAAGAAGCAAAAAATGTGGCAAAAAATGTCCAAACTACCATCAATCGTGAAGGGGCTTGCTCTTCCTCCGGAACAGGATCTGGTGGGCCATTGTTGTTGTTATTATTGTTATTATTTATGTTCCTCAAGAAACCAATTTGATATAGATATAATCCAAACCCAAGCAACAAAACAAATATAAATCTAATTGGGCTGGAGTAGAAATAAACGACACTAAACAGAACCATCGCTCTACTAAGCATATAGAAAATATCTAACCAATCTCTTTCTGGATTTTCTGGGTCTCTTGGTGCAGGGGCAGGTTCTGGGACTGGCGCTGGTTGCTCAGCTGGATTAGGTTGGGCGCCTGGTTCAGCATTATTGGGAATTGTTATAGGTGGAGCTCCAGATGCGTAAGAATTGGCTGCCCTAAAAGAAACAATAAATTTAAAGCAATGAATAATCAAACATAGTAATACTTTATGTTAAGAAACTAAATTCCATTTTTAAGTCCAATTTGTTGTATTTAGGTTCACTTTTTCATGTATACTTTTATGAACAACCTCTTTTCTACTAATTGCAGAGAGAAAAGTATTTCTAATATCTCTACAATATATTTCACGTTTCATGGAGTCGCTCTTATTANTGAAGGCTTTACTTGCAAAAAAAAAGAGTAGATAGAACTCTTGCACTGTGATAATAAGCAAGTTATTATTATTATTATTATTATTATTACATTTATTATTATAAATATTTATTTGAAAATGAACGACTACATTTTGGTATTACGTAATTACATGCAAAGCAATTATGTACTTTTATATAACTAAATTTGTTTTTAGTCATAAGCATTCGGTTTTACAATTAAAAAAGTGGAGGGCAGGGGCTTTTTTTTAAAAAACATTAGTCATGTGTTTTTCCCAAAAGTTAATACTGTATTTTAATTTACCATCTCCAGAAACCTGTACCAAATTTAAATGAAAAAACACATGGTAAAAGAACATAAAATAATATAACATTAAATAGCTAAATAAATATTTATTTCAACTTTTTCTATGCATTTTTCAACCCTTTTATCACTTTTCCTCTTTTATATGGATTTCATGTCTAAATTTCGCCACATCTACTTAATTTATTTTCTTAATCCTCTGTAATACAAAGCCTATCCTTATAAACTTCTTTCTTAAAAGTGCTCCAGAAATGGAGATGATTATTTAGTTATTTAATGTTACAATTTTGTTTCTTCTGCTTTATATTACTTAGTTGATGTGAATATTTTCAATAAATGTGAGACTATTAAGAGCGTATAGATCCCTACACCAATCTTTTTAAGGTAAATAAAAGTTTTCTTGAGAATTTGATAGTTTTTAAATTAACGATTGTGCTAAAGTAAAAAAACTAAATGTTTGGGTATCCATATCTCTTGAGCATGTTTAAAGATATTTTGTTTAAATTTATATAGAATATATAAGTAACTTTTAGATACAAAAATTGCTAATACAATTTTTTAAAATCCACCATTTTTATATTTTTAGGACCCAACCCTACGACTAAAATTAAATCAACAATTTCTTCGTAAGTACATGGTTAATTTGCACTAAAATATCAAAATGTTTCAATTTAAAATAACTAAGATATTAAGGGTGGTTCCATGAAAAGTGAAACACAGATGAAATGAGTAGATTGATAATGATAAATTAATGTCTTAATATTTTATGTAAGCAGGTATGCATCAATACCCACTTAACTGTAGGTAAGAGAATGCATAGTTACTACGGTTGGCTTAAATTGTGGGCGTTGGAAAATAACTAATATAAAATTGAATTCAGATGAATATTTCGCTAGCCTTGTTACAAACTTTGGCAGTATAAAGTAGATATAATTTCTAGAAATAAATGTTAAATATGGGTCCCATTTTCTTTTGTTTCGAAGTTAAATGATGTTTGGAGTCACCCCGTTACTTATCCATTTATTGCATTGGATATTGTTTGGTGAGAAGTGCTTATTGCCTAATAATAATAAAAAATCCAAAAATTCAAATCTGTTTTAAAAAATTTCAAGACAGTAACATATTGTTAATAAGTTACCGTAAGTTACTGTGTCATATGCACAAGTAAGTAATCTAACCACATGTATATTTCCAAGGATACATGATCATTACGAAAATTATTAATCCCATTTCAGAAAATAGTGGTTTTATTAGAACTGAAATTATTGTCTGGCACATGTAGCAAAACAATCTTTTAGGTTGCAATACTTGTACATTCTGATGATGAGTGCAATACATCGCGATTTATTACTTGACACTCGAAACTGTAATAATCCTAAATTCCTTACTGCCTGCTTGGTTCTAATTTAGGGAATTTTTACTGCATCGAAAACACTTTTTATTCTGTGGATTTTCCTGAAGTGGAAGAAAGAATTTTTGATGAGCAGCAGCATATATAAGTTAATTAAAAGAATAAGATTATATATATATGGAATATATAAGAATTTAGTGAAGAGAAACCAGGAGAAGTTAAACTGTGTGGCTCTCATGCATTCTGATTGCTCATATTACAGTTGTTAAAATAAAAATAAATAATTGCTTATTATGTATTAACAATTAAAAAAGAAAATAACATTCATTTCTTAAAATATCTATTTTAAAATTTTCTTTGTAATACGATTTTATATAAAAAAATTTTTTAAATGGAAATTTTTTAAATGAATGAACTAATCGAGAACTTTTAATAACAATACAAAAATACATGTGCATGATGAAACGTAGATATTTGTTTAAAGGTTAAATTAAAAGGTCAATGTAAGTTTTAGTATTACTGTTGACACATGAGTCTAATAGATGTAAATGTACAATAATATATTATGTTCCAAGTTTATACAGGGTGTCCCAGTGTCAGCATACAAAAATTTACCAGGGGGTAGACCGGACCAAAATAAGATTAAAATTCTTATAAAATATTTTTCTGCCATGCACTCCCAAGGAGTTACAGGGTGTTGTTTAGAAAAAAATAATATAACTTTCCGCAATAACTCAAAAACCCTTCCAGGAAATTAAGTAATTTTTGGGTGAAGTGTACATCTATTAAAGGTTATTAAAACTACATGGTGATTATTTTGATCTGATGCCAGGGGCGGCCTAGGCCAACTTGTCCTGAAGGTTATGTTTTCATAACTTCTGCATATCCTAGTTTTATGTAATTTGATTACATTTTCCTGAATCTACAATCGATTCTGAACAAAAAATGTGCTTTGTTTCATACCTCAAAAATGAACCGTTATCGAGTAAATTGGGTCTAAGGTATCGACTGCATTAGTTCGTAGAAAAATGCATGTGAAGATTTTATTTCTTGTTATCTAGTAGGTACCTGTCATTATAAAAAACAAAGTTGTTTACAAGCGTAGGTACATGTCAAAATTAATTACAGTACTCGAAGTTACTAGAAATTAAGTTTACAAAACAACAAGATTATGAAATTATTATGAAATTTTCCAACAACGAATATGCTGATGTGATATTTGTCTACGGTTTCTGTGATGGAAATTCATTGGTGGCCTCACGAGAATATCTACACAGATTTCCAAATAAAAGGCAACCTTCACAGCACGTATTCCAACGAGTTTTCCAAAGAGTCCGTGAGAACGGGAATGTTAAAATTGGAAATACAGAATGCTGCTGTTATTGATGATCCTTCCACCAGTGCCCGAAGAATATCAACGCAAGTAGGTATTCCACGAAGCAGCGCCTGGAGAATTTTAAACCGAGAAGAGCTGCACCCATACCACCTACATAAAGTACAAATTTTGCATCCTGGTGATTCAGAAAAAAGGTTACAATTTTGCAGGTGGTTGTTAGAAAATATCGATAATGGCGAAAATTACCATCAAAAGATATTGTGGGGTGATGAAACTATCTTTACGAGAAATGCTATAAATAATTTAAAGAATTTTCACATCTGATTCATTGAAAATCCGCATGTGATACGACCCACCGCGTTTCAAAGAAGATTCTCCATAAATGTCTGGGGAGGAATCTTCAACGGAGTCACTCTGCCTCCTCAAATTATTGTAGCCCGTTTGAATTCAGAGAGATACACGGATTTTTTAGAAAATATTGTTGATTACATACTAGATGACGTTCAATTATCTTTGAGAAATCAAATGTACTACTAACAACATGAAGCATCTACTCGTAACAGAAGACAGGTATCAGAGTGGTTCGATTTAGTATTTTCCAGAACGCTGAATTCAGAAAAATGGATCTATTATGTGGCCTCCCAGGTTCCCCGACCTCAACCAGTTTGATTTTTTTTACTGTGGTCATATGAAACAACTGGTGTATGCCAAACCCAGTAACACGAGACGATTCAAAAAATTAATGCAGCCACCGAGCAAATTCAAGCAACCGTTGATTTGCGAAGGGTTTACAATTCCTTGGTACAACAATGTCGGGCATGCATTAAAGTAAATGGGCAGCATTTCAAGCATTTATTGAAATAATTATTTTCTATTTTTATTGTTAATATTGTCATTTTGCTAACATAATTTCGTTTCTGTTATATAATTTTCTATTTTATTTTCAGTTCCCTTGAACTGTACGTATCCTCTACGTAACCAAATATTAAATAATTCATAGAGAACTTGTTTAGTTTCTTCATATTCATGGGAAACTGTACTTCAACAGTAAACAAGTTTGTTTTTTATAATGACAGGTACCTACTAGATAACAAGAAATAAAATCTTTACATGCATTTTTTTACGAACTAATGCAGTCGATACTTCAGACCCAATTTACTCGAAAACGGTTCATTTTTGAGCTATGAAACAAGAGCACATTTTCTGTTCAGAATCGATTGCGGATTCAGAAAAACGTAATCCAATTACATAAAACTAGGATATGCAAAAGTTATGAAGACATAATCTTGAGGACAAGTAGGCCTAGGCCGCCCCTGATGTCAGATCAAAATCAGCACCATGTAGTTTCAATGACTTTTAATAGATATACACTTCACCCAAAAATTACTTAAATCCCTGAAAGGGTTTTTGAGTTATTACGGAAAGTTGTTATTATTTTTTTCCTAAACAACACCCTGTAACTCCGTGAGAGTGCATGGCAGAAAGATATTTTATAAGAATTTTAATCTTATTTTGGCCTGGTCTACCCCCTGGTAAATTTTTGTATGTTGACACTGGGACACCCTGTATACACTGTGTCCATGAGTGGACAAAAGACAAGAGAAGAGAGAAAACATTTTTATTTTCCATTTTAAGAAAAAAGTTATTCTTAATAAAAAAAATATATATTTTTAAAATAAGGTTGCCAATGAGGTTTGAAATCAAGACAGATAATTTATTTAATAAATTCGAGAGAAAATCTTGAAAGAGACGCATAAAAAATAATGTTTTTTTCAATCCCTTAATTAGGCCCC